CTATTTTAAAAATTTTAATCCCGGGGCCCCAACCTGATGATTTAATTTTAGGGGGGGGGAGGCTTTTAGCATTGACTGACGGATTTAGCTGATAATTCGCTCGGACACATAACACATAAATGGTCATTCAAAACATTAATACATTTTTAGGTTCTGAAAAATCTCGAATTTTACAAATTACAGTGGGTTCCGTACGTTGTATTAAAACAATTTTGGAGCCTTAATACGTCATTACATTCCATGTCGTCACGTCTGCTCATGCTTGATCTGACGATCGTGCATCTGGATAACAGCACTGCAGCATAGTTTCCATTGCAAAATTTTCCGTCGTATGATTGTTATTTCTAAAGCATATCCCACTTCCCTACAAGTTTTACATGATTCATTTAGGCCCATAACACTGGTCTGATTTCTAACTTACCCGTGTGAAATATCCAGAAATAATCATTTTTGATAAAAGAGTTAGCACAAAGGACCACATATAAAGTGTAATAGACCTAAAATAAGACCCAATACTCGAGCGCCTTCGAATAGTTGACTATTCTTCTTCAGGAGAACAAAGGGAAATATTCACGAATTCCTTCTAAAAAGTTTCGCGACATGCCTTGTACTACTTTTGAAATGTTTTTTTCCCCAGTTGACTGGTAGAAAATTGCAAGACTTTTTACCATTATCAAGACACACATACGCTTCGTTGAATGCTATCAAATACTGCCATATTTTGCATTGTTCAAAGTTTTCTACATTTGGTTGTCACTTTTCCGTATATGTCGTGGAAGCAACATGTTTACACGTGACTCGTATTGCTTTTCCAGACGGAGATACTTCTTGGTTATGTTGAGTACTGTTGTCTGGGGCACGTGGTCGGCTTTTGCCATTGACCTTTGTGTTCATAGATTATCACCTATTTCAAGACGCCACATTTTGCTTACTGCGATTGGGAAATGACTTGTCGCAATACTCTTTTTGGATGGTCTTGGGTTCCTAAATTGATCCATATTCTTTTGTTTTTCAATGACATTAATTACCAGATATATCACGTTCTGGGATATTCTAAATCACCAATCTAAACACATCTTTATGACTTGAGTGTTTAATATTTTGTGATGGAAAGGGCTGTTGTATACTATTCTCAAAATTGACCAGTTTCAGTGGTGTCACACTACCTACACAATGTCAAACACTGTCAAAATGTAGTTCTGATACATTACGTTCCACCGCAACTTTATATCAGCTATGGTTGTCACGTGACTTACTGGTTTGCATGTTTTGACATAACATAGTCAACTCTTTGTCCGTGTGTTATTTTACATGTTTAATTAAAGTTTAATGTCATTTCAAGAAGTCTGATGGTCAACTTCACATCTCCCCCTCCTTTACCCCACATTACTGTAACAGCAACAAGTCTGATGGTCAACTTCACATCTTCCCCACCTTTACCCCACATTACTGTAACAGCAACAAGTCTGATGGTTAACTTCACATCTTCCCCACCTTTACCCCACATTACTGTAACAGCAACAAGGCTGATGGTCAACTTCACATATTCGTTTTTACACTTCTAAGTAGTCAATGGAAACGTATTAAAAGATGGTTGTTATAACTGATTTCATTAACTTTTTTTCCAGACACCCCCGCACCCCCCTTAATCCGTTAGTGGATACCACCCGTGCGCTTTTCTAAAAATGCTTAGCGTTCCCTCAATTGTTTTATTTTTTTAGAGATATTACTGGACATGTACGTTACACTAAATTATGTTTTACACCCTTCGATTCAAAACTTCACTTCACTGGCATGTGGGAAAAAGACTTCACACGAGGCGAACTAAAAAAAGCGCAGCTTTCATTTTGTTTGATACTGTCTCGTTACACAACTGAGCCTCGAATAAATGGCAGAATATGTATATGGCGCTAATATCGCTTTTTCAGATGCATATTTAAAGCGTTTTCAGTAAATGAAGAACTAAACAAATTCCCACCGTAGGTCTGAAGTTCCTTCACCTGTAACAAGTTATTTAAGTGTGATTAAAAATGAGTCTCTAAAAAAAACAAAAAAACACGAAGCTGTAATTTACACATATATTTAAGGTTCACATTTTCCAACTACGTTTCAACGTTTTTTTAGCGTTTTCTGAGATATTTACTGTGAAGAAACTGTTTAGAACAACAAATGTAATAGGTAAAAATAACTGTTGCCAGGGTCAACGTCAGTGCTTCGTGGCTGTACGATTGCTACGGCTGTACACGAGTAGCATACAATTCACGCATTAGATAGAATGGGATTAATTAAACCTGTGAGAAATATTGGTTGACTTTCTGATGTATGAAATCGGAGAATAAGTTGTAATGTAGGAAAATATGCTGAAAATGAAGAAAAGTCTTACCTTGAAAACTTTGGTTCGAGGTAGACTAGTGTACATTTTATCACAGGTGTTGCAAGTCACCGTCACGTGCTGGAGGAAGACTCTCGGATTACAGAGGGATTATTGAGAACGTGGTGACTGTTAGGTTGGAAGGTTGTTTCTGTACAAAGTTCCTGTTACCGACCTTGTTTAAGAATTCATGTAGCCGTGACAAATTATATCATTTTCTTTGTTAGCATTCACTTACAGTTGCGTGTATTATAATATTTAAACGTTTAAAATTGTCATTAAGGTACTTGATTATTGTTTCAGTTGAATCTGTACTTCCATCTATGATCCAGAGGTTTCCAAGGTTACGACAATAGCATTTCTATCAGTTCTTCCATAAATTTCACTATAAATATACTTTTGTTGCTGTGTGTGTTAAGCACACCCAGAAAAACCAATGTAACAAAGTGAAACCAGTTCTACACTTTGACCAGGTGTTTTTTCTCATTTATCGCGTTTACAGGATTGATAAATAACTCGTACTGCTACGTGTACACATGGAAACGAGTTATCAAAAGATATCAAATAAACGTGCGATTAGATCAAGGTACAAAACTGTCGTAGGCGATATTTTCGAGTGCCCTACCTTAACAACTATATGAATCAAACTGGGTAACATTTCATGACGTCGACATACGTAGGTGTAAGGAATGCTCCTATCTTTGTAATTTCTAACTCAATAATTGAACTATACGAATGTGAGTTTGAATGATTAGACACTGGACTTGTCGCTGCATTGCTATTAGTAAGCTTGACGGCTTATAACGCTGAAAATCTGGAGTTCGATACCTGTGGTGGTCACAACGTAGATAGCTGGCCTTATTTAACTGATGGTTAACTATCCAGTGTCCATTTATGAGAGAGCGTGATTGGATATTTGGGATGATGACCTTTGTTTACTACGTTTGTTTGCTTATTGTTAAGTATAAAGCTACACAATGGGCTATCTATACTGTGCCCACCACGGGCATCGAAACCCAGTTTTTGGCGTTATAAGCATTTCAGTCTCACCGTTGAGCCAATGGTGGGTGTTCACTACACTTGTTTCAATGTCGAACACAACATGGAGCTAAATGTTTTTATATTCGAGAGACATTTCTCATCATCATAGAGTTGGTAGACACTATATGTAGAGATGACCAAGGTACTCAATAGGCATAAGACAAACCCCCACACGAGTGAAAGGGCGAGTATATCCGGTAACGGGGATTCGAACCCGCGACCCGCTGATTTAGAGTAGAGCGCCCTAACCATCAGGCAAAATTTTAAGGAAACATCGAAGCTTCAATGACATTAGATTGTCGGTTCGCCTGAAGTGATTTGAGGCTAAGAACATAAATAAAATGACTGATGTAAAAGGCCATTTGCCTTTGTGTTTGAGCTTCCAACTTGCCTTATTAATCCGCAGAGTGTTATCCTTAAGGATGTTAATAAAAGGCTTGTATAAGAATTATCTCTGATTGAACTGAGGAAGGTATGTTAATCGAGATCGTTTTTGGTTAACTTCATCATCATTTTAATAATATTTTCTGCTTTGTCTTCGAACGTGTTTATATGTATTGAGTCATTTTAGATTATAGTCGATCTGAAAGAATTGTTACTCTTGTTGCAAATTTATTTTCTATTTGTATTTTTTCGATGGTTCACTTTGAATTACACAAAAAGATGTCAACCCAAAGCGAAGCTGCTATCACTAGGGCGGTGTCTGTATAGTTGTCAATGTATTGAATGAAAATAACATGGAGGTTTGTAATTGATCATTGACAACTAATCAGTCTCAGGCCTGAGTATAAGAATTGATATGAAAAAAATACATTAAACAACGTTTCGCCTCATGGCGCCACACTGGTTTAACTTTACAAAATAATGGCATTTAATGTATTTTTTCAACGTTTCGCCTCATGGCATTATGTTGTAAAGTTAAACCAGTGTGGTTGTCAAAAAAATACATTAAAGAACGTTTCGCCCCATGACATTATGTTGTAAAGTTAAACCAGTGTGGTGACATTTAATGTATTTTTTCAACGTTTCGCCTCATGACACCACACTGGTTTAACTTTACGAAATACAACGACGAATGGCTGCGGGAGGTAAAGTCTTGTGGTGTTCAGTTCATTAGTGGGTTAGTTTTTATTACGATATACTGATAGAGCACGGATTATGAAGCATGTTTATTATGAAGTTGTTTGTCGTTACGTAAAAAGTTACACAATGGGCTATCTGCGCTGTGCCTACTGCAGTTATCGAACGCCTATTTTTAGCGTTATAAGCCCTTAGACTTACCGCAGAGCTATCGAGGGCATGAAAATGACATTTGATTTTGATGTACAAGGTTTTACAAGTGATGTCAATTTAATTCCTGAATTAACACATGTAACTTCATAAAAACATCACATAAAACTTGTTTCGAGCTATTTACAATACATCGCAACTAAATAAAATATCACATGCAACCTGTTTCAAGTTACTTACAATACGTTGCAACTAACTAAAATATATCACATTAAATGTGTTTCGAGTTGTTTACAGTACGTTACGATTAAATAAAACATATCTCATGAAACTTTTACAATAAGTTGCAGTTGAATAACATGATTATGGAATCATTTAAAACATTTGAGTGATACTTACAACGTCTTTTTTAAGCTTATTCAGAGAACTAATTTTGAAAATATAGAATAAATTTACTCAGGGTTAAGTAAACAATTATTAACTAACATAGGTAAGCAAATCGACATGGACTAACTCGTACCACCTAAACAGGGACATAATTTTGAATTGTAGTTAAATCATATTTAAAATTCACACATTTAAAGAAATCTGTCTAATCTTTCTTAAGCTTGTTATTTGTGCAGTATTTATAATCTTAAAGTCTGATGTTTATTTTTGAAGGTACAAAATCTGTACAGTGAGCTGTCGATAGAGAAAACTATTATTGAAATAAACTACTCTTCTGTTGAATGTTAAATTAAGTCATTTGATAATTTAAACAATATCAGTTTTTTTTTTCGTTATATAGTTAAAGAAACTTAAAATCTGAAAAAAATATTTTAGGTCGCAGAAATCGATAACTTCATTTTGTATATAACAAATATGTATCACCATTGTTAATGACATTTATTTAATGTTTTTATGTAGCAATGAGAAACTAGAATAAAATAATTGATTGTATGACATTGTAATCGCTGATAGGTAAACAAAAAGATATCTGTGAGGTAACGGTATTGTGTAACTCTCGTACAGGCTTCTTGGAACTAGTTTGATGGATTTAACTGTCATTTGGTAATACCTCTTTCATGCCACTTGTTGTGTATACATTTATTTACTTATCAAATGATAAACTTGTATGTTCAGTTCGTCCCCCAGTGGCACAGCGGCATGTCTGCGGACTTACAACGCTAGAAACCGGGTTTCGATACCCGTAGTGGGCAGAGCACAGATAGCCCATTGTGTAGCTTTGTGCATAAATTCAAACAAACAGTTCAGTTCAACATTATTATTTCAAAGCAACAGAAGAGCAAAACATTTCTTCTTACAAAAGTATGAAAATTTTCGCTCCATAGTGGCTCAGCGGTAAGTTTGTAGGCTTATAACGCTAAAAATAGGGCTTCGATATCAGTTGTATGCACAGAACAGATGGCCCATTGTTCAGCTTTGCGCTTGACAACAAACAAATAAAAATAAAAATTATCATTGACATTACAGTAATGTTAAAAGCTATCGATTTCTTAGCTAGCACAACAATGTTCATTTTTTTTCCAAACTTGTTTCACAATGATTTAAAAAAGAAACACACCATTTTGTTTTCACTTGTTGAAGCGGCTAGGAAATGACACCATAGATTTTTTATATAGGATTATTCAGCGAAAGCTAGATGTATCCAAAATTTTGGTCGCTCACGAGGCTTATGGATCATGATTATATAAGCGAATTATCCTGGCAACCCTATGCTTCTGTAAAAACAATCAACAATAGTACAAATGTACTAAAACTAAGTGGTGGTGAAAATGATAAAACTATGAAAATCTGTGATATAAATAACGAGTGACTCTTCGTTCCAATGTTTATCATCTTATTTCTTTAAGTTCGGAACATATAATACTAGCTTTAAAAATAGTCAACGCAACATAATGAAGAACATAATCAAGTTGAAATATTTAGCTTGAAATAAATTTTGTTTTACAGCATGATCTCGTCCAATACATGAGCTGAGCGTGTCGCGGTGTTTAGCTTTTCTGACTACAGATCTATGGCCCCAACGATTGCTTCCTGTTACGGCAGAAAAAAGCAAAAAAAGCATGATTCAACTTTATGTAAAAAACTCGTTTTAAGTATGAAAAAATAAAAAATAAGCGTATATAATACAGTTTGAAACAGGAGTCTTTGTTACAAGAGATCGGTTAGAGCGTATTCAAACCCAGCTATGTACTAAACTTTGATCTCTTCGTTTAAAATACCGAACTTTAGCTTTATACAATATGTATGTATAAACACTGGAACTCACAACAGTTACAAGTAATCGTTTTGAGTGAACATGGAGGGCTAACGTTGCTCAAAATCGCTTAATTATTAGAATTTTTTAAAAGTTATCTAAAAAATATAGTTGTAAAATGTTTCCCAGTACAGCTTTTACGTTAAAAAAATAATAAACTGAAAACTTATACTGTGCTACCATCTTCAGGCCAAAATGTGAACGAAAATAATGAATTACCGTATTGTTCGAAATATAAGACGCTCCGGTG